ATAAAACTTTCATTATGTCTGGGAATCAAGTTAAGGTAAAAATTAAAATAAAGTAATTAGAGACTTGTGGTAGGCTGAATACTAATTGCTCAAAGATGTCCAAATTCTAATCTCCAAACCGGTGAATGTTACTTTACATGACAAAAAGCTTTGCAAATGTGACTAAATTGAGGATTTTTATTAAAGAAAGAAACTTGCTGTCATCCAGTTAATTCTGCTCAGTGTGGCTCTGTAGGTCAGAGTAGAACTTCCCTGTAAGTTCCCCAGGCTGCAGATTTTTTACAGGAGTTGAAAGCCTCCTCTTTCTCTACAGAACACCTGGTGGTTTCAAAGGGCTAACCCGTAACCCACTACCAGGGCTCTTGACAGATAAAGAGATTTTGCTGGATTATTCACATGGTCCCGCTGTAACCAGGAGAGTTCTTTTGAGAGAATCTCAAGGCAAGAAAGTCTTCCCTGGAGTACCATAAGAAACATACTTTTTGTTAGGGTCCTGGTGGCATACTTTGTTGCGTTGAGCTACTAACTGCTAGGTCAACAGTTCGAAAGCACCAGCCAGGAGTCCTGCAGGTGAAAGATCCGGCTTTCCACTCCAGTAAAGATTTGCAGCATAAAAAATGGGGCATATGGGCCACTAGGAGAAATCGTGGCAATATGGCGGCCCCCGGCACTGGAGACCCTCTAAATACTAGTAGTGGGGAGGGCCCGGTGGCTCAGTGCATCGGCCCAACCCGGGAGAAACTCACTCCCACACAGCCGCAGTTCCCGCGGCAGGTGGAACTCGCCCAGTGGCAGAAGACGCTGCCCAGCGTCGGACCCGGAACTTCGTGATAGGCCTGGGCATTGGGGCCCTGGTGCTTGCTATTGATGGTTACACCTTCTACTCAGTGTCCCAGGAGTGTTTCCTAGATGAGCTAGAGGACGAGGCCAGAGTTGCCCGAGCTCGAGCCATGGCTAGAGTGTCAGGCCCCTGATCCTGATGGGCGTCAATGGTTTCCACCCTGCCGAGCCCCTTCACTAGCTGGGTGATGCTCTGTGATCCCGCAGAAAATGAAGCTGCTCACGGCATTGTTGTCCTAACCAACCTCACGCCATGCCTGAACCCCAGCAGCTGGAGACGTCTGCAGCTGCAAAAGGGACGTTGTCTACCTTACTCTCACGGTGGGCAGTGACCAGACCCATCTTGTAGTTTGTTTTCCTTGTTTGATGATTGCATAACCCTGGTTTTTCCTAAGAGCTCTGACTGGTTTGCCCCTTTCACACCTCTGGGGTGTGACTGGTATGGGGTTGAGAGGTGGCAACTCCTAGCCTTGTTGGAACCTGATGTGGGAATTATGGGGTCCAGTTAAATATAATAAACTTAGCTACCTCTCCTAAAAAAAAATTTCATATGGGCAGTTCTACTCTGTCCTATAGGTTCCATATGAGGGGATTCCATAGTAGTGAGTTTGGTTTGTTTTTTCCTGAGCACCTTGATCTCTAGTGAATCTGCTAATCTACAGACTGTAGATAATTAATTCATGGTGTCTTTTTCTAACACAGCAGATTTGCAGTGATTTGTTACATTAGCAATAAAACAGACCTAACCCTGACAAAGCTATCTTAAAACTTATTACATTATCAAGTCAAAGGGAAGCCAGCATGTTTGTTTGTTTGTTTTAATTTACATCAGTTGAATCAGTTCAGAGATAAGAATAATACTGGGAAAGAGCCCGTGTAGTTGAACTAGCAGTTACAAAGTAAAGCAAACAAAGAAAGTCCCTGTTACAAAACAAAACAACAGTAAAAGTCACTGCCAAGGTGCTGCCTCGACTCAAAGCAATCCCATAGGACAGAGTGGAACTGGCCCGACGGTTTTCAGAGTCTGTGAATCTATATGTCAGCAGAAAATCTCCTCTTTCTCCCAAGCACAGTTGATGGGTTTAAACTGCTGGTCTTGAGGGGTGGCAGTCCAATCAGCTACACTACTGGGGGGTCGTAACGACAACAGTTGGAACAACAAAAACCCACGACTTACTATAAACTCCAGTGTCTTTCCTACGTTCTACTTTTAAAACTTCCCTCTTTAAAAATATCTTTAAAAATAAAGGTGGGCGGTGGGGAGAACGGAACAAATCAGTCTAAGCCCTGGTGTCCTAGTGGGTTACTTACTCCTGGGGCTGTTAACCTCAAATCATCAGCTGGAAAGCGCCAGCAGCTCTGGGGGAGAAAAACCAAGCTTTACCCTCTCGTAAAGAGTTACAGTCACAGAGGGCTCACGGGGAAGAGATGAGCCAGTCAGGGTGCAGTACAGCACCGACGAAACACACAGCTTTCCTCTAGTTCTTTAATACCTCAATTCTACCTTACAAATTGAATTAGACCAGAACACGCACCCTGCTACAGATAAGAGCCTGCAACACAGGGAATCCAGGGTAGATAAATCCCTCAGGGCCAACAAGGAGAGTAGAGATACCAGGAGGATTAGGGGAGGGTGGGGGGAGAGAGAGGCAATCGATCACAAGGATCAATCTAGAACCCCCTCACAGGGGGATGAATAACGGAAAAATGGGTGAGGGGCGACGGAGGATGATGTAAGTTGTGGAAAAAAACAATGTATAACTTATCAAGGGTTCGTGAGGGCGGGCGGGCAGGGGAGGGAGGGGGAAGAAATGGGGAGCTGGTATCAGGGGCTCAAGTGGGAAGAGATTGCTTTGAAAACAATGATGGCGGCATATGTGCAAAGGCGCTTGGCACACTGGAGGAAGGTATGGATTGTGATAAGAGATGTAAGAGCCCCCAGTAAAAGCATTTTAAAAAGAAAAAGAGTTACAGTCTCGGCAACTCAAAGGGGGCAGTTCTACCCTATCCTGTAGGGTCGTTAAGAGTCGGAATCCACTTTTTGAGTTTGAGTTCGGTTTGCCCCTGGTTTAAGGCACCCTGGTCTAAGGCGCAGGAGGGTTGCTTCCACAAGGTAGGTGGTGGGTACCCACCAGCAGCTCCGCTGGGAACGATGAGGCTTTCTGCTCACGCAGCAGACTCCCACTCGCTACGAGTCCGCATCCCCTGACGCGAGGGGGGTTTTGTAATCTTCTGTTTCTTTCCAAACAATGTTAAAATTTAAAGCGGGGAATGTTCGGGTCACGCCTGCGCTGGGTAACACTTCCGGGCCCGGCCGGCGCTCGGGAGGGGAGGCGCTGGCGAACCGGGCGCGGCGCCCCGGAAGCGGCCGCCCGAAGGGACCCGTGCGCGCGGCGATGGTGCGGCCCGCGCTGTGGCTGTGGAGCGTGCGCACGGCCCTCCTCGGTCCCACCGAGGCTGCTCTTCGGGGTGAGCTCAGGGGTCAGTGGGCAAAGGCAGAGCGCCTACCCTCGGGCCCCGTTGGAACGCGCGGCGTTCATCGGAGTGCTTGCTTCTGCAGGTTCCTAGTTGAATGTCAGTCTGGTGCCTCGGCCCCCGGAGAGGGAGCGTTCGTTTGCAGTTCTTGTTCCTTCCGATCCCGGGCTGCTGGGGCCCGGGTCGCCCTGGGGCAAGGCCGGGAGACGCGTTAGGTGAGCGCTTTCTTGATTCAGCCAGGAAGGTCACCTCTGGATCGAGAGGAGCGCGCACACTGGCGGGGGGAGGAATGTAATGGCGATTTCACGCCGAGCGACGTTCACGCGTCTCCCTAGAGAGCAGGGCTCAACTGGCGGTTCTGCAGCCACCGAGAACCCGACCTGGCTGCGGCTGTGAATGACCCGGGAAGGCAGGGACGTGCCGATGGCTAGTGGGTCTAAACTCAGCGCTCCTGGCCTCCAGTCCTGTTTCTGGGTTTGACCTGCTGCCTCGCCTTCTGCAAGTACCTTCTATTTGTGAAGCTACGGGGACTGGGAGTAGCTGTTTTCCCCGGTTTACTGCACCAATGAGCTCAGCTCTAAGGACCCTTGTGAGGATGGCGCAGGAGCCCGCAGTGTTTCTTTCTCTTGTCCTCGGAGTGACCTTACAGCAACAATGCATTTTTTT